CAATGCTGGTTTTAGGACCAGTGGGACATGCGGAACTGACGATCAAACCCGGGTCCTTGCCCTTGCTGGGCAGGCACTAGAATGCCAAATTATCTCCTCAGCCCTGGCCTTTTAAAAAGTGTAAAGAAATTTAGCTTACTTTGAGAGAATTAGCCTCTTTTGCTAACTTACAGTCTAATCCTATATATTCAATAACAAACTTTAGTGGGAATGTTATTTGGTTAAATGTAATCACTGTAGTTTTTAAAAGTTTTAGTGCAAAAATGATTGAGACATCTTATTTAGACTTCATCCTATTTATCTGTACTGATTAAGTTGTCTATACTGGAAACTATTTCGTGTAGCTTCCTTTGGTTACGGTGCCAGATGGACACTTGAGCTTCTAAGCTGGCCTGCGCTATAGTGCACTTCTCTACCCACTAGACATGTGGCTCTGGAAAAGCGGACATTTGTATTTAAAAATTGTTCTCCATCCAAATAAAATTCTGCAAGACAACTCTGTTGAATTCCATTGTTAATCCGTGAAGAAAGAGGGAAGAGAATAACTTCTCCTCAGATGCCCTGGATAATCTTCTTTGTGGCCTCATATCAAAGTTACTTGCCTGACTTTTTTTTTTTTCCTCTTCATGTACTTGATACAGGGTCTCACTATGCAGCTCAGACTCGTAGTGATCCTCCTGCTTTCAGCCTCCCCAGGGCTGGGATTACAGGTGTGCACCATCATGCCCAGACTTGGTAGCAGGCTCAGCGTACCCAGGGGCAGGGGCAGCGCTGCTGCTGCTGGTGCCGGGATCGAACCCTAGTCCCTGCACTTGCCTGAGCAGGGTCTTAGTCTGCTGAACTATCTCTCTGGTGCCTGACTTCATCAGGCCTGCTTGGGGTGTGGTGGAGCATATCTGTACTGTAATCCCAGTACTTGGGAAGCTGAGGCAGGAGGATCACCTTGAGATCAAAGTCAGCCTGGGCTACATATTGCGGTCAAGGCCACGCTGAACTACGTGGTGAGACCTGTCTCAAAAACAAACAAACAAGAGAACCTGTTTGGTTCTACCTGTCTACGCTAGTTAGAGGTAAATCAATAGCCCTTAACTGATAGAGAATTGGCATGGAGCTTCTAACCTCTAGATGGCAGCACAGCTCTTAAACTGGCTTTCTGATTTAGGTTTTAAAAAAAATCTGATTTTTCCAGATCACTTGCCTGACTTTGTTGACATCTTGCTTGACTTTTAGCTAATTGTGTTCCTTTTCATGGCACCATCTTATTATTTGTTAACTCACTTTCTTTCTTGTTGCTCAGAAGCTTTTAGTTGCAGGGTTTTTTTTGTGTATATGCTGCGAATCACCCCAAAGCCTTGGCGCTGAGTTATATCACTGACTCGTTAGATTTTTTTTTTTTAGTAACATATGCTTTGTGACTATTTGGCAAAAGTTTAAAACATACCTGATAAAAGTTCAAATTTCAGGAAGCAAGAACTGCCAGAAAACATTAACCTCTAAAATATACATGCATCTAGAAGCTTACAGGTTTGTGAACTCAATTGCTATTGAAGCATAAATTATAAAGTTGCAAAAATTTCTTTTTGGGGGGCTGAGGAGATACCTCATTGGCATAATTTCCTGCCTGGCAAGCGCAAGGTCCCGAGTTTAATCCCCGGTACCAAAAAAAAAAAAAAAAAAAAAAAAACAACAAAAGAATAATCGACTCTATTCAGCAACTATTTGAATGACTTCCTCATCCAAGGCCCTGTAAGGATATGAAGAGGCGTAAGACA